TCCAACGCCCTAAAAATATATCATATCGACCTTCGAGCTCGAAATTTGACAATGTCTGTAGTTGGCAACCTGCTCTCCTCTTCTACACCCAACCATGCGTGGACAAAGTGCGATTTTGCGAAGGAGACTTCGATGTGGGAGCCAGGTCACGCCTTCACCCAACTCGCTATTGAACAAGATTGTGTTCTGTTGCAAAGTCAAGGGTCACGTAGGTCAAATATCATTTCAGCAGAGCCACGGCATTTACACTACCTTTAGGTGATATTTTCATTTTGGACACTAGTAGTCTTGAAAGTACAGGTCCTATCAGTGACCCCAAACGACGAGCAGATTGCATCCATACAAAAATGCTTCTCAAAGCGTCAGATAGTCTTTTCTTACTTTTCAAGAAATCCACAAGGGTCTATTCCATCTATTGGCTAGACAAGGAGTACTCATCTACAGGAAAACGAGCCAACACCGAAGACACGAGCATCTTTGAATACGACCTCAGCAGTTTCGCGCGACATCTAGTGGACGTACGAATAGATTCAGAGTGCGAAGCAATTAAGATGAAATATGGATGCCTCATGATAGTCACAGCTCGACCAACTCTCTACGTTTTCGATTTCAATCCGATCCTCTCTGGACCTACCCCGAGCGAATTGGCACCCATTACCGAATGTGATTTCACATTCGCCGTTGACAATCCTTCTCCAAATCAGTACATTGCAACGAGCTGTATCGACTTTGACGAGCAGTGTATATTTCACTGCACAGACGTTGGTTTTCGCATCGTCAGCCGTATTACACTCGAGGTGCTCTACTCTCTTCATGGGGAAGCACCATGGCAAAAGGTGGCCCCTAAGCACTGGACAAAATGTGTCACATCGAATGCCTATATCGCCCCAGTCAGCGATGATTCTGGTGATCCGCGGCTCGAATGGAGTCAGGGTGGTAGTCGAGTGGGCAAACTCGTCAAGGGTACTGCACTCCAGAGAAAAGACACGGGTTGGAAATGGAATGCGATCAATATGCACGTTCATGACGGTATGGTGATCATTGCGCTTCTCTCTGGCTATGCTATCGGCTTCCCAGACTACCGAAAACTCATAAACAAGGAATGGAACCTGAATGATGACCGGAGTTGCTGGGTACTGGACGTGGATAAATGGTGTGACTGGTCTGCTTGTGATGGAAAGAGAGTCGTATTCGCAGTTGTAAGTCTGACTTATATCCTTCATGTATTGGAACTCAATACCTCCCAGCGTGATCGCAATGTCATTCTAAATCTGCATGAGCTACCTAATAAAATGGTATCAGTCGATACCCCGATTGTTGAAATTTCTCGTGGTATATGGGAGAGTTCCGGAGCGGCTGGAGCGAGCGTAGCATTGACCGACCAGAGCCTCTCCTTCCTGGCCAGTCACGGTATGTTTATCTCTCCCAAGAGTGCACCGTTCTTCTCACCTATTTCGTAGGTGAGGACACTCGGGTAGTCAATTGGTTCTTTGCTTGATCCTTGATGGGTATCTCTGTAAATTGCGTCCTACTAGCCGCAAGAATCAACGAAACAACTCTTAATGAACCGTATTTATAAGCCTTCCCCTTGTTGATATCCCTGCAAGGCAAGGCTGCTACATTCATCAGGTGATATGCTAGGTTATCGAGAGCAGGTTGCCAACTACAGACATTGTCAAATTTCGAGCTCGAAGGTCGATATGATATATTTTTAGGGCGTTGGA